TCTTATTTTGGTCATCAAATACACACGCAGAGGAGATTTCTTAATTGAAAATTAGACCACAGAATATTACAGGTTTTTTTATAAAGGAATATTTAGAGAGAATGCTGTTGGAATCTTGGAGAGGAGAAATAGAAGTTTATCTCTAAAACTAGTATTATGACATTTATATTAGAATTCAGATTGATTTATTCAAGTATTTGTATAACGATACTCTTATAAACTCTTAGAGAATACAACCTGACTAAATTTTTTTATGCAAGTAGTTTTTGCATATAGGATTCCAAAATAATTTTATATAATGATACTTAATATTGATGATTAAACCATCTTAAGAATATCTGTGAATCACTTGTAATTTTTATAACTTTAGCCTTTTATACATACTCTAGTATAACAGATTTGACATCTTCCTTAAATTACCATCATTCTTGACGTCAGTGAAATTCCAAGTCCAGAAAATTTAAATTACAATATGGAAACTGTTATTTTAGTCAAATGCAAGTGAAATTTGTAAGCACAAAAGTTGTGATGTACGTTACATTATGTCACATTTTCATTTGTTTTAGTCTGTGAGAAGCTGGAAGGAATAACTCATTGAAGTTGCCATCATTCTCCTTTCATGATTTTCAGAAACTTGTTAATTTAAGGTAAAATGTATGAAACACTTTATGTTGGCTGTGATAGTAATTTCCAAGCTTAATGTTGCAATCACACTGGGAAGCTTTGCCTCCATGGCAAGCAACTGAGGTGCCAGCCACAATGATCATGGTCAGGTACATGAATATTTGTACATTTCCTTTAGCTGTTTATGGCTCATTATTGTTAGTCAACATTTGTAGCATCACTTAAATCCTTGGCAATAGTAAAATACACTCAAAATTACTAATATAACCCAAGACAACTTCTGAAATACTACATACAATATTAATGTACTTATAATGCACCCATCCATGCCATTCCAGGTTGAGCACAGCTAATTTATATATGTCTAATGCGCCACATCCACACATATTACTTTAGATTTCACTTTGGAAATTTAAAATTTTTTTAGTATTATAACAATAACTTGTTTAATGTGGAAGTGACCAGTAAAACAGTGTTAACATAATCCTGTTCTGTCAACTAAATATACATCCTTAGTAAAATTTTTCAATATGAAAAACATTGTCTCAAGATTGCCCCTCAAAATTTACATTGTTCTCCCTTAATTTTAATACAAGGGGACAAGAGTCCCTTAAACTGTAGAACCAAGGAACAACAAAGAGCAATTAGTCTTACTTGTGTAGTGGTAAAAATTCTACTCTTGTAACAGAAGTTTTGCAAAATTATATGGTGAATTATAATAACATAAAAGCAAATCTGCATGTATTCACTAAGGGGAAAAAAATCTTAAGGCAATATATCTTAAGCTTGGAAATTACTATCACAGCCAACACAAAGTGTTTCATACATTTTACTTTAAATTAACAAGTTTCTGAAAATCATGAAAGGAGAATGATGGCAACTTCAATGAGTTATTCCTTCCAGCTTCTCACAGACTAAAACAAATGAAAATGTGACATAATGTAACGTACATCACAACTTTTGTGCTTACAAATTTCACTTGCATTTGACTAAAATAACAGTTTCCATATTGTTGATTCATATTTTCTGGACTTGGAAGTTCATTGACGTCAAGAATGATGGTAATTTAAGGAAGATGCCAAATCTGTTATACTAGAGTATGTATAAAAGGCTAAAGTTATAAAAATTACAAGTGATTCACAGGTATTTTGAAGATGGTTTAATCATCAATATTAAGTATCATTATATAAAATTATTTTGGAATCCTATATGCAAAAACTACTTGCATAAAAAAATTTAGTCAGGTTGTATTCTCTAAGAGTTTATAAGAGTATCGTTAAGCAAATACTTGAATAAATCAATCTGAATTCTAATATAAATGTCGTAATACTAGTTTTAGAGATAAACTTCTATTTCTCCTCTCCAAGATTCCAATAGCATTCTCTCTAAATATTCCTTTTCTGAATCAGGGGTTAGTAACTTTATTAATATTAAATTAATTATTCTAAAAAATGGTCATTCACCAAAGTTATAATACTATTAGTATGACTAGTTAGGTTGTTGTCAAAGAAGTATTATGTTATTCTGTTTGTTATACATGTATGTGTGTATATTGTTTGTTCAGTTGAAGTAAAACTGAGTATTGTAAGCATATTGTGATGCTAAAGAAATTACTTTTAAGCATGAAGCATTTAGGATTTAGTGATGTACAGTTAAACCACATAACTGGGCAGGACAGACTGTACATATGCGAGTGTCAAGATAATGTAAAATATTCAGATATGCAGTTGACTTAGAGTTTACAGCATAAATAATAATGGATTAAATCTTATTTTGGTCATCAAATACACACACAGAGGAGATTTCTTAATTGAAAATTAGACCACAGAATATTACAGGTTTTTTCCTAATCGTTTACTTAATCTTGCTACTCTCATAAATCATACTTGTATTGCAACTTATAAGTTGTATAACTTAAGTTGGAAATACCATTGGTAAAATATATTAGTAATAGTATCACTCTTTATTTTCGTGTTAATTATATTAATAGTAATTGTAATACTAATAGCTAACAGTAACAATGAAACTATATGAAATTGAAATTTAGAAAAGAAATTCTGCGTAATATTCGTTTTATATAAAATTAATAAACTACTTGTGTTAAGCCTAATACTAATAGTAATGTCATTGGAATGGCGCCATTTTTCTATATTTATGTTATTACATTTTTTTCATTTAACATAGAACCCACCAGTTGAACTCGAAGCCCGGCAGTTACATAACAGTAACTCCATTTACAATATTAGGCTTAACTTTCTTATAAAGTACAACCTACCTCGATATTCGAAATAAAATCATGAGCTGACTTAGTAGGCTCTGAAATATTAAGTTCCATTTTCCATAACATTAAGACAGATTTTAAAGTCAGTAATTTTAAATCAGAAATACAAATTATTTCATGAATAGGCCACAACTATGAAAAGGTGTCTCCCCCTGCTTTGTCACAACTAGCCTTTATTTTTGGTCACCAGGATGTTAAGAGTCTGATTTTTAGCCTTAAAAATGCAGTTTTTAAAGAGATTTCAATAAAAAAATTATCCAACCCTCTGAATCTTAATGTTATATTTTAAGGAACACCCAACTTGAAGATAAAAGTTGTCCTGAAAACCATTCATAAAGTGAAAGCATTAACCCAAAGAATATTAAACATAAAGTTATCATAATCAAAGAGGTTTGTCAAATGTTCTTTGTTATAACTGCTTATGTTAGAATAAAGCACAATGTGAAGTTTTGAAGCAAAAACTTCTGTGTGCTAAGTCACATAGTTCAGATCTAACATTGTGGAGAGAAGACGAACATTATTTATTTACTATATTGTTTGGAACTTAAATATGTTTAAGAATGATTTTACTTAAAACTATACGGAAAGTTGAGGTTTGAAATTGTTTTAATAATCTGACACAGGTATTTTACAGAAAAACTTAGGAACATTGATAGTTTCACTAAGGTCCCACGGTGGGACAACAGTAAGTCTTCGGATTTACAACGCTAGAATCAGGGGTTCGATTCCCTCGGTGGATACCGCAGATAGCTTGTTTGTTTGTTTGGAATTAAGCACAAAGCTACACAATGGACTATCTGTGCTCTTCCCACCACGGGTATCGAAACCCGGTTTCTAGCGTTGTAAGTCCGCAAACATACTGCTGTGCCACTGGGGGGCCCGTAGTTAGCACGATGTAGCTTTGCTATGACAAGTTCTTGCTATATCTCAGTTACTCTTCTTCCCTAGTACATCTAACTCTAAATAATATTACAACAAAGGATAGAATAGACTGGATATGCAATAAGAAAACTTTGAAAACTTTACCAATGAATTTCTAAAAACAAGTATTTATAATTTTCACAGAGATAACAGTTTTTTTGGTTTATTTATTTTTTGGGCATGTGTTGAATCTACTTCCATTTAATTGGGGTGTGTTCGGTAAGATAACTTACAGCTCACTTTAAAATACACTAGTTTTTAAGTTTCTGTTATCGCAGTTGTGGGTTTTAAAATACTTGTTATTCAAATATATTTCATTCATATAATAAGAAAATGCATAAGTTTGATAATTCAGGGGTGTGTCGGCCAGGGTGACATGGGGGTGACAGACTCCCAATGGAGAGCTCTGCCCCCAGCAACCCCATCTGAGATATTACGATTTAATCTTTTAAAAATTTGAAATTCTTTACATTGTGACTTCCACTAACAAGAAAATCCTATATACTGACTGAGCCCCCTAAATTAATATATAACTATTGAATGCAGTAACGGTATTATTTATTTACTACAGTCCCTCAGTTTGGGAACCCTGCACTAGAAATACATAGCACAGAACATACTGCACAAATTTTTAATTTAATTATGTGCGAATATACAGACGATTTTTTTTAATGTCAGTCATTGAATTTTCTTGTGTTCACCACGAATAGCATTGTTATATACTTAGAGAGGCATTAGAAATTTCAATAAACATTGTATTATATATGCACTGAATACAAATCTCTATAATAAAGAACATATTCTTGTTCACTGGCTATCTGGACATTCAATCTCTTGAATCAGTAAAAACAAACTACGGCTTCTGCTTTTATCATTATGGAAAACTTCATTGTGTTCAAGTATGATGACTTGGTCTTTTAACCACTGCCCAGAGTTCAACTGTATGGTATGGCTATTTTGCCTTGCCTAAGTTGAACACTTCAACCAACTGAGGTCCCAATGGTGTTAGGTGATGAACCAACCACATCCGGTTTAGCTATAACATCATTAATCAACCCTCTCATCCACAAATAATTAACACCTGGTGACTAGGTCATCTCTGAGAATTAAACCACCAAAAAGAAGAATTAGAAAACTAACCATTATTCAGTTAAAGATTGCATAATTTTTGGATAGCTTCAGAAAGGGTGTTCAAATACGTTCAGCAGGATCACAATGTTTCCAACCATAGGAGTGACATCCTGCAACTTAAAACATCTAGGAGAAAAGAAGAAGAACTGAAAAACACCAAGACCAAAGTTTTCAGCAAGTCACCAGACCTGTCATTGATATTGCCACCATTTTCCAAAGACATTTGATATTTGATATATTTGCCATCAAATGATGCTACCAGTAGTGAAAAACTCAGCCTGCCAAGCGAATGTAGTCCTGGTCCTTGTACTCAAACCCCTGGATTGTCAATGAGGAAGCATTACTAATGAGAATTATCAATTAGCTACCAAAAACTGTTAGTCGAAAGAGGAACTTTAAAAGGGCTAAAGAGTCCTTCTGGAAGACCTTATCTGTACAGTGGAGATTCATGAAAAGAGTTTGATAGCCTTCTACTGTCTCGCTGCAGGAACTTTGTGAATATAAAATATATCTGAATTTTCAATTATTTTGTCTCATATTTAATTATTCTTCGTTTGCTTTCAAACATTATGTTTTTGTTTAGTTGTGTTGAATCGTTTCTATTTTAAAGTTGTTCCAGGTACTTTAAGTTTTATTTTGTATTACTAGCTACAACTTAGAAAGGCAATTCCGTTTAATTTTGAGTTTTATTTAAGTTGTTCTTCTATTCATTACAAATCTCTTTATTTGGAGTTTGAATATGTTTTATTTTATTATAGTAACTATTCTTGAGCTATAGCTTTTTCAAGTCATCTTGAATAGAGCTCTGTATAAATTATGTCCAGTGTTTTACAATGTGCTTTGGTTAATATTTTTTCAGCGAGGTCTTTTTAATTTTTTACTTTCTTACTCGTTATTAATTTTGGAGTTTATCTTTAATTTTCTTTTTCTTTTTGCATTATATTCGGTTTGTGGTATATTTCATGTATTGAACCTTATGTTCTATGCAACACTATATTAAGTTTATTTTCTCATAATTTTGAAGAATATTAACTTTCAATTTTGTATTACATATAAAGTTTATGTTAAACTTACATTACAATACGTTAATTTTATTCAGCATTTTATCTAACTTAGTTTAGTTCATTATTTTTTACCTTCGCCACTGAAGGTGACTATGACCCAAATTAGAAGTGATTAGTTTTGGGAGGGTCAAGGTCAAAGGTCAATAAAAAAATCCCTCTGTTAACACGGGAACCGATTTTTCACATTATTTTTGCTCTATAATTCAGTCAAAAATTATTCGATTTTGATTAAACTTGGTGGACATATGTAGAATATTATTCCTCATTATCCTACCAAAAATTGTCCGTTTCCGTTGATAACGACTGACATGCAGGCACATTATCGTATTTTTGAGGGCCGAATATGATCAACGTTGCGTGGCGGAGATATGCACTCTACTGAGTGCCCCTCTAAGTTAATCCTGAGTTTGTATATTATAGATTATACAAAATACTGTCTATTTTGAGCTATTTATCCCTGTACTTTACTTAACTCATAATATTTGAATTTGTTTGATCTGAAGTATATTCTGATTTTATCTAGCTGTTATCACATATTAAGTTCATTCTGAGTTTGCTCTTGTCCTGTTAATTTAAAGTTAATTCTGTATTCTATTCAGTTTTATTCATCTATGTGCTAGCGGATACTTTAAATACATAATGCTTTCCCTTTATCCATTCTTTGAGGAAATATCATGGTATATTTGTGTCATTTAAGGAAAGGATTCGTAAATCAGAACTACATTAACTGATTTTAGATATTAAAAGTTTTTTGTTTTGTTTTTAAGTTCGGCCATAAGAAGGTTCTGAAATAAAAAAGGAGAGGTATGACAGTTGAAATTACCAGATTCTCTTTCTATAATTAGAGGAGAATATATTTTAATTCTTATACATTCAAGAATATTTTTCATAAAATTTCATACCGTTTTCTGTTCTTAGTTAACATCCACGTGACATGATGTAAGTAGTTGTGAACTTCCCATTTTCATTGCTTAAAGCTAAGGTCACATACCATAATGATCAATCAAGAGAGCTACTACACGTATGACCAGGGCCTGGCATGGCCAGGTGGTTAGGACACTCGACTCGCAATCTGAGGGTCGCGGGTTCGAATCCCCGTCGCACCAAACATGCTCGCCCTTTCAGCCGTGGGAGCGTTATAATGTGACGGTCAACCCCACTATTCGTTGGTAAAAGAGTAGCCCAAGAAATGGCGATGGGTGGTGATGACTAGCTGCCTTCCCTCTAGTCTTACACTGCTAAATTAGGGACGGCTAGCGCAGATAGCCCTCGTGTAACTTTGCGCGAAATTCATAAAACAAACAAACGTATGACCAAGCTTGTGTATTACAACAAGTAAAGGTTTGTTTGAATAAATAGAGTTGTTTAAACATTTGTTTAACAACAAGTAAAAGCTTGGAATGGTCTATTCTTTCATTGGGGGATATGTCTGTAAGCCAGACTAGTTTTAAAGAATTCCGCTCCTCATCAGTGACCCTGGACACTACCACCAATGAAATATCAACAACAAACAACGTTATTTAATTCCTATCCCGGGGGGGACCGGCGGGCCGGTAGAGGGTTACGCCCTTTCGTCAGCCAAGCGACGAAAAAAGAAAAATGGTGAAAATGAATAATAGAAACCTTAGCAGAAAGGGCAGATAGGTATGGCTTCTAAGTATAATGCCTGTCAAAGACAATGCCAAGATAAGTCACGGAATCGGAAAGGGAGATCGGGACATTGTTGACCCGGACATCAAACAGAGACGGGTCACGGCAAGGGCGAAACGTATGTCGTGTTGGACCAAAAAGAATAGCTCGTGTCTTAGGGACATTGAGGGATAGACGCCAGGAGCGACACCACAACAAAAAAAGAATTTACAGCAGCCTGGACTAGCTTATTCAGTGTGGACATCGTGGAACAATGGGCTACCAAAGCTGTGTCATCAGCATATTGAAACAGCTGAAGAGGAGGCTGGGAACAAGGCAGACAACACAGAAACTTGTGGGACTCCAGCATGTAGTGTGGAATTGCAAGAGAGAAACCCATCAATCGAAACAGCGA